GAGGATAGCGTGGGGGGGAGTTTGTGGGGGGAAAGTGGGCCCCTTGGGGAGCACAGTTGGGGGGCGGGGGAGTGTGCAGCAAGGCCCTGTGGAGGCTGAGTTGGGGGGCTGTGGGCCACTTGGGGGACAGCTGTGGTGGGGCCAGTGTGTGTTGGGGTGGAGGCAGTGGGGCCCATGGGGGGGAAGCATGCCTGGGGGAGCGGGACTCCCAAAGGGGCAGTGGGATCAGCTCAGCTGTGACTGTTGTTTGCCCCCCCTCTCCCGGGCAGGAGTCGGGAGATGACGAGTACAAAGGTGACCAGTCGGACAGCGACGACGAAGTGGACTCGGACTTCGACATTGATGAGGGCGACGAGCCGGCCAGTGACCAGGACGATGACGAGCCCAAGAGGAAACGCAGGGTGGTCACCAAGGCTTACAAGGTGAGGACGGAGCAGCTGGTTGTGGTGCTGGGTGACCCAGCCTCTGGTTCTGTATTGGGGTAGCACCTAAGAGCACCCACCAGTCATGGACCAGGACTCTAGTGTGCTGGGTGCTGTATGGACAGCGAAGAAAATGATGGTCTCTGCCCCAAAGAGCGTCTAATTGAAGTACAAGACAGGAGACATCAGGTGGACACAGACAGAGGTGCGCAAGGAAACAACAATACAACCATAGTCAGCATGATGGACAGTGGTCTCAACTCACCAGCTGTCTAACTGCTGTTTCTGATATGGTCGTGTTGGGCTGAGGGAGGGACCCCCATGAAAGCTGCTGCCAAAATTCTCAGTACAACCAGATTGTAATCTAGTTTAGAGGGTAGCCGGGGAGTTGGCAGCAATTCCATTTATAGGCTGTTTCGTTTATGATCAGCAGCAGGACCTTGAAAACATCTTCAATTAGTGCCTTTCAGGAGTGGGAGTGCAGACTCCTGGGCAGGACTCCTGGGTTCTATTTCCAGCTCTGGGATGGAGTGTGGCCTCATGTTTAAGCAGGAGATGGGCAGTCAGGACTCCTGGGTTCTATTCCTGGCTCTTGGAGGGAGTGATGTCTAGTGTAGAAACCGACAATAATAAACAGACTGCAGCAATGGTCAACGTAAATCAGAGGTTGAAAATGTTCTTTCTCTAATCAAAGGTGACAAAGAGTTCTGTGGCACCTTATAGACTAGCAGACATATTGGAGCATAAGCTTTCGTGGGTGAATACCCGCTTCGTCAGATGCATGCAAAAGCTTAGGCTCCGTTAGGTCTGTTAGTCTATAAGGTGACACAGGACTCTTTGTCGCTTTTTACAGATCCAGACTAACATGGCTACCCCTCTGATACTTGTAATCAAAGGTGTAACTAGTAAAATGGGCAAAGCACTTTTCTTTTTAAAGGCGTTTATGTTGGCAGGGGCCCTCTCTCAAAAACAAGCTCCAAAATCCTTCGTGGCTCTTTATTTAAATGGGGTTGGAAATAGCAAGCCCCCAGGAGGTTCTATCTCTCCTTGCATCACCTCTTTTCTGAACCCACTAGGAGCCCATCAAAAGCCTGAGACCCAAGAAGCCCGATACAGCTGCTAGCAGCTCCCAGAAGGTGCGAGAGGAGAAGTCTGCGCCCCTGGAACTCCAGGATGAAGTGGGAGACAGTAAGTATGTCTGATGTTCATTAGGATCAAATTTATTGGTGAGCAGACACCAGTTGTTTGTAAGGTTTTCTCGAAGCTGCTGCATCCATTTGCAGGGCAGAGGTTTGATTCAAGGTTATTCAAGTACAGTTGCTGAGCTGAGCTGTGATCCACAGACCAGGAGGAATCATTGTGGGGCTGTTTTGCTGGTTTCTTGGTAGCTACACTGTCTCTGCTTGCCTTACCCAATGTCCTGACTTTCCCTCCCACTCCTTGGGCTTACAGGCCGCAAGTACATGCGCCAGTCAACTACGGAGCACACGCGCCAGACCTTCCTCCGTGTCCAGGAGCGTCAGGTGCAGTCGAAGCGCAAGAAGGGGGGGACGAACTATGACAGGCCGCTGACGCAGGAGGAGCTGCTGGAGGAGGCCAAGATCACAGAGGAGATTAACCTGCGGTCTCTGGGTGAGTGACATGGGTAGGAGGGCATGAGGCTTGTGAGGTCTTCAGGCAATAGCCCTCACCCCACTGCAGTGGCAGAATTGAACCACACAAAGAAGAGACATGAGCGGCGTGGGGTCAGGGAGTGAAATGACTGGGGTTAGGGGGTTATGTAAGAATGGGGCTTAGAGCAGTCCGAGCCCTTGTGCTTGCAGCTGAATGGGAGGCCCTGAGAAACACAGTCTCTTCACTCAGGTTGGCAGCAGGACCCTGGCGCACCAGTCAGGGCTGTAATGGTCCACTGGAGACAACATGATCTGATAGGCAGAGCACAAGGGTGGGAATCGGAACGCCCAGGTTTGAGTGCCAGCTCTGGAAGGGTGTATTATCTAGTAGTAGAACAGGGGACCTGGAGCTAGCACTCCGGGGTTCTGTTCCTAGTTCTTGAAGGAGAGTGGAGTCTAGTGATTAGAGCGATGTGGGGGTGGAATCTGGACTCCGGGTTTTATTTCTATCTCTGCCATGGGCCATTCATTCACCGCTCTGTGCCTCGGATTCCCCAACTTTAAGCGTGGATAATGCTACCCAAGCATTAGTTCTGTGGATGATGTATAGACGCGCCTAGGCACCTCCCCTCACCATCATGAATGGTTCAGAACTATAGGCATAACACAGGAGTTCTCTGGCTCATTCAGCTACCAGCCACCCCTTATGGGAGCCCGTGTGTCCCTCCTTGGTTCTCAGACCGTCAGGAAGGAGTTTGCAGACCATTGGTGACCTGCAACCTGCAGAGTGAGAGCTTCTGGTGTGGCACAAATCCCTCTGAAATGCTGGAGTCACAGTCACCGTTAATGGCTCTTGAAGTGCTTCCATGTGGTACCTCTCAGTGTGAAGCAAAGAGCCCAGAGCTCTGAGGGCAGTCGAGTGGGCTCGGTAGCCGGATCGTTGACTGATGGTGTTTTCCAAGCTGCCCCATTGTTCCGCGCCCTGCTCCATTCACCCTCGGTTTAATCGCCCTTGCAGAGACTTACGAGCGGCTGGAAGCTGACAAGAGGAAGCATGTGCAGAAGAAGCGGAAGTGTGTGGGGCCGGTGATCCGCTACTACTCGGGGACCATGCCGCTGATCACTGACCTCGGGGTGAAGGAGGAGAACGTGGATGTGGAAGGGTAGGTGTTGGGGATTGTATTCACTCCTCCCATCTCCCTAGCCTGAACTCCGGCCCCTCGGGATGGGCTGCCAGCTCCCTCCTAGGTCTCACTGTCCCTGCTGACTCCTGCACTCTGGCTGGCAGGTGCCAACTCTGCTTCCTTTACTGAGCACAAGTGCCTAGTACATCCTTTGTCTCCCCCCGCACCTCTCCAAAAGCACCGTGTGTCCTTGTGCCCCCTCATCCCCAGAGCCCTGGATGTTCTTACTCCCGCTGTTGCATTTGAAGCTCAAGCTGATTCCTGTGTTTTCTCCCCACCCCCAGGTTGGATCAAGACATGCAGCAAACAGCAGAGGCTCCCCAGGCTGCTGCCTCCCCGGCTGGCAAATGCTCTCGCACCTTCATCACCTTCAGCGACGACGAGACCTTTGAGCGCTTCTTCCCTAAGGCCAAGCAGCCCAAGCTGCCCGTGAAGGAGATCTGCCCCGTCACCCACAAGCCGGCCGTCTACCGGGACCCCATCACCGACATCCCCTACTCCAACATCCGGGCCTTCAAAATCATCCGTGAGGCCTACAAGAAATACATCACTGCTCATGGGCTGCCCAATGCGGCGGCTTCTGCGGCCCTGGGGGCGGGGCCGCCCGCAACGGATCCAAATGTCCGGGCGACCCGGCAGAAAATCATCATCAAACAAACCGTCCCGGCCACATAAAGCCCAGGAGTGTCTGTTCCCTTTCCAGGAGGGAACTTCTTAAACGGACACAGGCACCTTTGGGTGGCTCAGTATTGACCCACCCCTCCTTCTTCTTCCCTACGTATTTTTGTTTTTTAAACTCAAACGGGTGGTGGTTCATTGTTCTTTATTTATTATTTTATTTTTTAATAAAAAAAGCAATGCCTGCAGCGGTCCTACCAGACCAGACCAGCCTGCACAGCCCCTCTCTCCTGGGAGACCCTACGAAAAACAAACCAGCGTGCACAGCCCCTCTCTCCTGGGAGACCCTACGAAAAACAAACCAGCGTGCACCAGCAGAGGCATGCAGTGGGTGGGAATCACTTATTCTGTGAGGAGGAGGATGGATTTTAAGCTCGGAAATGGTGCCTCCTGTTTAACCGTTTAGAAAGATAATAAAATGACAGGACAGACGCTGTCTGCACTGTGTGGCTCATTGCAGGGAGGGGAGGAGCGTGTGAAAGAGGCCGGATTCTGCTGCAGTCTAACGTCCCTTCTCACTGATCAGCTACAGCAGGGGCAGTGCCAGTGGAGAGCGTCAGGCACCAGGTGACGTTCAATTGGTTCTAGCTGATACTGCGGGCAGGGTAAAACTCCCATTGCAAAAGCCAGAGGCGCAAGGAGCGGTTTGCGCTGAAACCCTGACGTGTGGCGCTGACTGGAGCCTTGGCAGGGCTGTGAAGTACAGGCGGTTCCATGTCGCAGACAGGTTAGTTGGTGTCTGCCTCCTGCTCGTGTGGCTTGGCCAGCCTGCAGGGCTCTGATAAGTGTTGTCAGTAACACCCCTGGGAGAGCCAGAGCAGCGTGTTATTCAAGCAGCATCGCCAGCCCAGCTGCTTCAATAAGGAGAGAAGGGAAATAAAAGAACCCCCCCATTCCAAAGGCGATTTCCTCAGTCGCCCTCCTTGCCCCAGCCCATCCGATTTCCTGCCTATATCCACCGCCAGCTTGATCCCTGCCCCCTCTCTACTCCACTCTGGTTTTAAATGTCTCGGGCCCTGGGGATTCCGCGCCTTGGGGGATGAGTCTGCTGCACTGGAGAGCTTGTTAACAAGCCATTCCTGAGCTTCAGCTTAAATTTCTCTCTCTCGCTCCTAGTTACTCCCCAAGCAATTCTTCCTCCTTGCAGCTGGCTATCGTTGTCCCTGCCCCCAGGGTATAGCTTAGTTCTGCCTGTCTAGTGTCTTATCCAGCCCCGTCCCCAAAGTAGCTGAATGCTTTGCCTATGGTCGTGTATTGACCCTCCCAGGGATTTAGCATTATCCCCATTTTACAGATAGGGAAACTGAGGCACAAGGTCTCACGCTAACATGGGGAGTCAGAGCTGGGAATTGAATCCAGATCTCGAGGGTCCCAGTCCAGGGCCTTAACTGCAAGCTCATCCTTCTTTCCTTACCCCACACCTCCATTAAGCTGTCCTCATAAATCAGCCCCTCACCTCCCTTCTGTTTCTCTTCTCTAATTCAGTTAGATTACAGACCAGAAGGGACCTTTATTAGGTGTACTACGGTACCAGCTGGGAGGGGCAGTCATGGACCAGGACCCCATCGTGCTGGGTGCTGCATGTTATTTATTAGGTGTATTATGATAGCAGCTGGGACCCCCAGGCACGGACCAGCAGTCCACTGTGTTCAGTGTGGTACGGGCACATCAAAGAGACGATCGCTGCCCCACAGAGCTCTGTCTCATCCCCTCGTCTGATCCAGGCCGTGTCTGATCCCGAGCTAAAGCCAGGATTCCCAGTGCGGTCGCGTGGGATCTGGAGTGAGAGGGGTCCTGTCTTCTCAGCTCTGCCAGGATGCCTGTGTGGCTGGCTCTGATCGGCAGGAGCCCTTCCTGCTGCTAAGGCCTCATCTCATGCCCTCCCCACCTGCAAAGCAAAACGGGCAACCCAGAGCTGCCCCCTTCAAGTGGCAATTCTGGCATTTGACCACTGGGGGTCTGCAGGGCTCTGGGAAAACCGGCTGGGCAGTTGGAGTGATTGATAACCAGCCTGTCTATGTGATCTCGCTCCCCCACCCTCCCCTTTGCCCGGCTGGAGCTAAAATAATAAAATGCTGATCTCACACACTTCGCTGGCGGTATCCCTTGCCTCAGCACTGCGCTGCTGCTGCTACTTTCGCCCAGCCTGGAAAGGCAGCGTCCTGGACTGCCAGGGGAAGGTAAGCTGGAAGCCCTGCTCCCGGGCGGTAGATTTCTCCATGGGGCACAAGGCTGATCTAACCACAAAGCTAATATTCTAAGCGGCTCGCTGAAGGGGCGTGGGGCTGCCTTGCCCTCTTCGGCCATTGCTCGTTGGGCTCTGGATTCTCACCTCCGGCTTGCGTTGGAGGGGACGGGCTGCCCATGTGGGATCAGTGCCTGCTTTTCTGGGCTGTAGGGCACGTGTTCCTCTTGTAGGTAGGTGAAGGGATCTTTCCCTAGTGCGTTGAGACGCCTTCTCTGCCTGGGACATCTGCTCTTTAACTTGACCCTCTGGGTAAACAGCTTTGTCTCCTATCATGGCTCCATGCACGATCCTGATGGAGGATGGGTTTCGGCTACTGGGCCTGCTTTCCCCCCACCAAAAGAATATAAAAAGCACGACAGGGCTACGACATGGATGCTCCTACAGTGCTTCGCAGCCCAGAGCGCTGGGTAAATGTTACAGACCCGTACGGGTCGGTTTGACTAGTGCTCAAATGTGGCCACCTCTGGGGAGGGCTGCAGCAGCTGTTATAATCGTTTAGGACAGGGCCCAAGCACCGTAACTGCAGGAGGAATATTAGGTAGGCAACATCGCAATTCCCAGGCTGGAATTTGGCTGGGACTCGGGCTAACAAGCACTAGGGGATCTTTAGTGACGGGGGCTTGTGTGTGTTACACCTGCCACGCAGCCCTCCCTAGTGCCCTGTGCTGACCCAGTAAGGAGAGCGCCACCTATTGAATCCTCCAGCATTGCTTCCTGCAGATCTGGGTGGGTGGCGCTCGGAGGTCTCCTATCCAACTTCCCAACCCAGCCTGTCCCACTCAGCCTCTGAAACCTAGCTGGACCCCAGCGCCCGCTGGCACAACCGCAGACTGAATTGTTTGGAATAAAACAAGAGGACAGTCAGGTTTTTGCCCTGGGGAAAGGCCAAAGGGCTATTGCCAGATTCCCAGAGCCCTCCAGGACATTGTGCCCTTGCTTTGTAGTCGGAAACCAGCTTAACCCCGGTAAGGCTCCAGCTACATGTGAGCACCTGGCCGCTGTGATCTCAGCAGAGCAAGGTCAGGCGGAGTTGGGAGCAGCGTGGCGCAGGGGCTGTTAGCAAGGCTTTTTCGACCTGAGCTGGTGTCTGGCTGCTGCTGCTTTAACATGCTAACGGGTAATAATATAAGTAATTCCCTCTGTGGCAGGTACCCCTGGGTGGCGGTCTCTGACCTGTGTTAGATAGGAGGTCAGACTAACCGATCAGAGCGACTCTGTCTGGCCTTAGCGGCTGTAGGCTTGGTTCTGATCGCCCGTATGCTGGTAAATCGAGAGCAACGGCATTGAAGACTGTGGTGTGAGATCAGAATCCTTCCTCGTGGCCCTGTGGCCCCTTCTAATTCAACGTTATCCCTATGCCCTGGCCAGTCCTGTCTGCTTAGGTAGTCAGAGTGCCCATCACCGTGGGGGCTGGGCCCTGTGCCAATGAGCTTACAAACAACAGGCAGCAACGCACAGAGCTTGAAGTGGGTGACGTAGACGCTCTCCTTACACTGCCAGAGCTGGGTAAACGGGCTGAGGGCATAGGTGTCGACTTCCCCAGTTCCCGCAGGGTGCTTGACCACTGCTCTGCCCCAGGCCCAGCCCCCACTCCACCCCTTCCCCAAATCCCCCGCCCCACCTCTTCCCGCCCCCACCCCTTCCCCCAAACCTCATCTCTGCCTCTTCCTGCCCCCCCACCTTTCCCCTCCCCTCCCATCACCTCCTGAACATTGCTGAACAGCTGATCATGGTGGGCGGCAGGCACTGGGAGGGAGGGGGAGGAGCTGATTGGGCGGGGCCACTGGCGCGTGGGAAGGCTGGGTGGGGGAGGAGCTGATTCACGGGGCTGCCGGTGGGTGCTGAACACTGACTGTTTTTTTTTCCATGGGTGCTGCAGCCCCAGAGCACCCACGGAGTCGCCGCCGATGCCTGAGGGTAAAAGCGACTCAGGCCCACTCTTTAAGACGCTTCCCAGCTACGGATCTCCGAGCACCTCCCATTTTACTGATGCGGGAAACTATGGGGCTGTCTACCCTTGGAGTTCATGGATTCATAGATTCCAAGGCCAGAAGGGACCGTGGTGATCATCCCACCTCTGTAACAGGCCAGAGACCTGCCCCCAAGGAATTCCCAGAGCAGAGCTGTTAGAAAAACATCCAGTCTTGATTAAAAAATGGTGTCTGATGGAGAATCCACCATGATCCTTGGGAATTGTTCCAGTGGCTAATTACTGTCCTGGTTAAAAACGTGCACGTTATTTCCCGTCTGAATGTGGCTAGCTTCAATTTCCAGCCATTGGATCGTGTCCGGCCTTTCTCTGCTAGTGTAAAGAGCCTATTATTCAATACTTGTTCCCCATGTGGGTGCTCACAGACTGGGATCAAGTCCCACCTTAGCCCTCTCTTGGTTAAGCTAAATAGATTGAGCTCCTGGAGTCTCTCGCTGTAAAGCAGGTTTTCGAATCCTTTAATCCTCCCTGCAGCTCTTCTCTGACCCCTCTCCGATTTATCAGCCCTGTGGGAGCCCCGAGATAGCCCCGGAAAACCCACCGCACCGTGTAGCACTTTGCTCAGTGACTTTATTTAAGGCCCGTTTCTCTGCCCTGTTTCAGACCCCGCTCCAGCGGGGAGGGGATGGGATGGGGCGGCCGTCCCACCTGTTCTACAGCTGCCAGCTGGCACCGCTCTCCGAACGAGCATCACGGGACATGACATTGGGCGCCAGGCTGACCCGTGTCCAGCCAGGTTGGCAGATTCCTGGAGCAGCTGCCTTGGCAGTTTTGATCAGTCGAAGGGCGGATGACGCTGGCTGTGTCACCTCTCCATCTGCCCGTTAGGTTCCGCCCCCAGCGCCCCTTCTGTGCCCGGCAACCCCCTTCAATCCCTGGCCTACCCCCCTCACGCCTGGTGCCTCCTCCACCCCCAGCACGACACCCTGCATCCCCCTTGTGCCCCGTCCGTCCGTCCCCAGGGCATCCATTCCCTCTCCAGCTCCATCCTTATCTCAGTGCAGGTGCCCTCCCTCTGCCACCCTTAGCCCAGCACCACCTCCATCTCCATCCCTTCCAGCATGGACCTATGGCCTCCAATGGACTCTCTGGTCCCCTCCAGGGGCACCCTCTGCATCCTCCCACCCTGCTCAGAGCGTCTGCTTCAGACTTGCTCCCTTATCGGCCGGTGCCAATGGCTGCGGGGCTGGGACG